GTCAGAGAGGGCGGAAGGGGAGAGAGAGAGAGAGAGTGAGAGAGAGAGAGAGGTATCCATAAGGAGAGAGAATCATGGCTCGGCTGCCTCCTGCACGCCCCCCACTGGGGATGGAGCCCGCCCCCCCGGGGAACGTGCCCTTGACCGGGATTCAAACTGTGACCCAGAGACATAACCCTTCCCTATGCACCCCTGATAGGACCCCCCCCACCGCTGGTATAGGTAATTTTTGGCCTCTTTGGTTTTGATAAAAGCCCTATAAAACAAAAAATGAGATAAAAACCCCATCACCATTACCCACAGGTCCCCGAAGCCGAGCCTGAGAAGGGAGCTACCTCACACACGGTCCCCAGCCTGGCTCCCTTACCCAGGGTGGCGGGCTCCATCCCCGGTGCGGGGCGTACGGGAGGCAGCCGATCCATGATCCTCTCTCATCGTGGACGCTTCCATCGCTCTCCCCCTCTCCCTTCCTCTCTGCCATCCATAGAAACGTATTTCAACAACAACCACCACCACCACAACCACCACCACCACCACAACAGAACTCCGGGCAGCACAGGGCCCCGTGGAACCCGGTTTCCCGTCAATGTCAAGGGGAGGAGGCCACCGCCGACAGGAAGTGCCCGGAGACCCAGCTCTGAGGGCCCGGCTTTGGCCGCCTGCAGCGGTCCCCGCCCGGAGCAAACGGGCTGAGACGCGTAATTGCTACTTTGGAAAACGAAATGGTCGGGGAGATGGGCCTCGGGGGCTGTGGATGGGGGTGGGGGAGTGATAAACCAGACCTAGGGGGACGCCCGGATCAAACCAGCTGCACTCTGGGTCCCAGCCCCTTCAGAGGGCCCCCCAGCTCCTAGCCCCCCGCCCCCCAGGCCTCCACGCGGCCTCAGAGCCTCTGGGGACACGCTCAGCCCGGCTCCTGGCCTCCCCTTCTCCCTGCTGCCCCGGGCAGGCCATCTCAGTGCTCAGCCGACACCCCAGCCGCCCCCCCAGGCTGCCTCCCCCAAAGGCACAGCACCTTGGGGACCGCCCTGCCTCCCGGGACGCCCCAGGCCCAGATCTGAGGGCCTCTGCCAGCCCCCGGCCCTCGGGGGGCTCCTGAGACCCCCCCCGCTCCCCCCCTCCTCGCTCCACTGGCCAGCCAGGTGCACAGCTGAGCTCGGAGCTGCCTGAGGCTTCTCCTCTGCTCCCCGTGGCAGCGTTCCAAAGGAGCCGGGACCTCAGACACTGCCCCCCCCTTTCTCTCTCTCTCTCTCTCTCTCTTAAAAAATTAATCCTCCCCCGAGGATATGTTTCCATTGATTTTTTTCTTTTTTTGAGAGAGAGAGAGAGGGGAAGAGAGAGGCAGAGACAGAGAGAAACATGGATGAGAGAGAGAGAGAAAGAGAGACAGAGAGAGAGAGACATGGATGAGTTGCTTCCTGCACCCACACCCCAACCAGGGCCCAGGGGCCCGGGAGGAGCCTGCCACCGAGGGACATGCCCTTGACTGGAATCGAACCCGGGGACCCTTCCGTCTGCAGGGGGAAGGAAGGCTCTATCCACTGAGCCACACCGGCCAGGGCTCAGCTTTTCTCCTCGCCTTCGAGGGCACGCCTCTGCCCCTCGCGAAGGCCCATGGGTTCAGGCCCCAAAGCCCGAGGCAGAGTCAGCGGGGAGCCTGCCTGCGGGTGCCCTCTCCTGCCCGGTTTTGAGGCTGAAAGTTTGAAAGCGCCGCGCTAAAAGCCGGTTTGGCTCCGTGGCCTGCAAGGTCCCAGGTTCGATTCCCGGTCCAGGGCGTGGAGCCGGGCCAGGTCGAAGGCTGCAACGCCAGTGGGGCACCTGCAGGAGGCAGCCCATCCACGACCCTCTCTCCCCACGGGAGTCCGTCCCTCTTGCTCTCCCTCCCTCTCCCATCAATAAGAACATAGTCTTAAAAACAAACAAACAAACAAAAAAGCCAAAACCGGTGTGGCTCAGTGGATAGAGCGTCGGCCTGCGGACTGAAGGGTCCCGGGTTCGATCCCGGTCAAGGGCATGGACCTTGGTTTCAGGTGCATCCCCAGTGGGGGGTGCGCAGGAGGCGGCTGATGGATGTGTCTCTCTCATCGATGTTCCTAACTCTCTATCCCTCTCCCTTCCTCGCTGTAAAAAAAAATCAATAAAATATATTAAAAAAAAAAAAAAAAGTTTGACAGCGCTGAGCCAAGGCCAAGCCCGGACGGGGGTGGGGGACTGGTGGGGGGTGGGAACCGCGGGGTGCCCCTCGGGGTGCGCGGGACCCAGACTCCCACCTCGGACCCAGACAGCCCAGGGGGACCCAGACTCCCACCTCGGACCCGGAACCCAGCGGGGAGCGGGGAGGGGGAGTCCGGGCGCCCCTCCCCTGGGCGCCCCTCCCCGGGGCGCCCCTCACCTGGGTGAACTTGACCTCCAGGCCGCGCACCGGGCGCGGCAGGGCCGGCGGCTTCCTGTCGGGCGGCCCGGTCCCCGCGGCCCCGTTGGCCCCGTTGGCGGCGGCCATGGCTCCGCGCCCGCCGAGCGCTCCGTCCCGTCTGCTCCGGTGACAGCTCCGCGGCTTTATGGGGAGCCCCCCCCCCCCCCCCCGCCTCCCCCGGGGGCCGCCCATTGGCTGCGGAGGGGAGGGGAGGGGAGGGGGCCGGCCCGCTGCTCCGCGCCCGCCCCGCCCTCTTTCCCGCCCGGGCGCCCGCGCCGCCGGAGGGAGCGCCCCTAAAGCGGCCGGATGCGCCCCTGCCCCCAGGATGCGCCCCTGCCCCCCCCCCCCGGATGCGCCCCTGCCCCGGGCCAACTCCGCTCCGGCCGTGCGCCCCCCACCGCCCCCCCTGTGCGCTATGCGCCGCGTCCGTCCGTTCCGTCCGTGGGTCGGTCCGGGATCCGCACGCAGGGACGGCCCGGCGGGCTGGCTGACCTGCCAGGGGCCCCCCAACCCGAGGCCCTGGGGGGGGGCTTCGCGCGCAAAAAGGGGCAAGAGGCGGAGGAAAAGCGACCGGAGCCCTTGACTTTCAGAGAGGGACGCGGCCCTGCAGCCCGGGATGCAATGTTAGACCGCCTTTAAAAAAATTATTGATTTTTAAAAAAATATATATATATATTTTGATTTTTCTTACAGAGAGGAAGGGAGAGAGACAGAGAGCTAGAAACGTCGATGATAAACATCGACCAGCTGCCTCTTGCACACCCCCTGCCCGCAACCAATGTACATGCCCTTGACTGGAATCGAACCCGGGACCTTTCAGTCCGCAGACCGACGCTCTATCCACTGAGCCACACCGGTTTTCGCTTATTGATTTTTTCACAGAGAGGAAGGGAGAGAGAGAGTTAGAAACATCGACGAGAGAGAATCATCGATCAGCTGCCTCCTGCGCACCACCCCCCTTGGGATGTGCCCGCAACCAAGGCACATGCCCTTGAGACCAGAATCGAACCCGGGATCCTTGAGTCCACAGGCCGACGCTCTATCCACTGAGCCACACCGGTTTTGACACAAATATATATGTTTGAAAAATATCTGGAAGTGGGTAGAGGAAGCTGTTCGTGAAATAATGACGGGATGGACGGAGGGAAGGAGGCAGGCGGGGCTGGGTCTCCAGGAGTCTGTTGGCTCCAAGGCCGTGTGCTCACCGGGACGTCAGACAAACATCAACCAGCCGCCTCACGTCCTCCTCCAGCGTGGCCCGGGGCGCCGGCCTTGGGGAGCTCCACCTGCCGGGACCCCAGGGGCCTGGGACGGAGGCTCCCAGCCGGAGCAGGCGGCTCCCCGAGGGCCGGCCGGGTCCCAGGCTTGTCGGGACCAGCAGGGACCTCTGCCCCTGCCCGGCCATGCGGGGGGAGGGAAGTGAGAGGCGCGTCTGCCCATTTTCCAGGTGAGTAAGCAGAGGCGCGTGGGCACCTGCCCCAGACACCACCCGCCCGCGTGGGGGTGGGCGATGCAGGGCGTGGCGGAGGGGTGCCTCCTGCCTTCCCCTGCACCCCTCTCTCACCGCAGGCTCAAGGGGCAGAGCCGAGCCCAGCGACGGTGCAAAAATGCCAGCAGCGCCCCTCTGTGCTGCATCTTTCTTCTCCTTTTCTATTTTTCTTAAAAAAAAAACAAACCAACCAACAGGCCCTGACCGGTGTGGCTCAGTGGACAGAGCGTCGGCCTGCAGAACTCAAGGGTCCCGGGTTCGATTCTGGTCTCAAGGGCATGTATCTTGGCTGCGGGCACATCCCCAGTGGGGGGTGTGCAGGAGGCAGCTGGTCGATGTTTCTCTCTCATCAATGTTTCTAACTCCCTCTCCCTCTCCCTCCTTCTCTGCAGGAAAATCAATGAAATATGTTTTTTTTTTTTAAAAAAAAACAAACCCCACCAGATTAACTCTATATTTTTCCATGTAAAGTTGTGTTTATTGGTTTTAGAGAGACAGGAAGAGAGAGAGGGAGAGAGAGAGAAAAACCTCAACGATGAGAGAGAACCGTGGATCGGCTGCCTCCTGCACGCCCCACGCTGGGGATCCGGCCCGAAACCCGGGCGTGTGCCCTCGGCCGGGAATCGAACCCATGACCTCCTGGTTCCTAGGCCGGCACCCTGCCCCTGAACCCCACGGGCAGGGCCAGACGTTCCATTTTGAAGCTCCCCCAACGGAACACGCCCCCCGGGAGACGTCCTCGGAGGAGGGGGGGGGGGCCCAAAAAGCACTTCCTGGTTAGACGGGAAAGTCCTCTCAGGGGCCGAGAAAAATGGTTCCAGAAGATTCCTTTGGACACCGCGCGGCTCTCGCCCCGCGGATTGTGCTGAGGGAAGCCGGGGTGACTCACAAACATACAGATTCCATTTCCCTGGGAAGCCACCAGGGGATGGAGAACGTGTCAGCGGGGAGGGGGAAGGGGTGTGGCAGGCTAGCCACTGCCAAACCCCAAATATGCGAAAGCAGATCTGAGTGCGCTTGTCTGGCGAGCCACGGTTGGGCCTGGCCGTCCGTCCATCCGCCCCAGCCCCACAGGGACGAGGCCCCCCCCCCCCCCGCCCCCCGGCCTCCCAGCCGGACGCCGTGTCCGTTATCCAATCATCTCCGTTGGACGTTTGCCTGGGCTCCGAGCCTGGGGTGGACGGACACGGGACAGGGAGCGGGAAGCTGTTAAGATCTGTCTTTCTGGGACCGCCTGGTGTGTGTGTGTGTGTGAGTGTGTGTGTGTGAGTGTGTGTGTGTCTGTGGCTTTTGTATGTCACTGTGCCTCTGTGGGGTCAGGGTCACCCAGACAGTCCTCTTGCGGGTCCCCTGGCGTCAAAAAAGCTCTACACCTCACACGCGTTATCACACGTGTAGGCAACACAGACGGGGACGCCGATGTACGTCCATTTTCTCCCGTTTTTTAAAAATGTATTTTATTGATTTTTTTTTTTTTTTTTTTTACAGAGAGAAAGAGAGGAGAGGGATAGAGAGCTAGAAACATCGATGAGAGAGAAGCATTGATCTGCTGCCTCTTGCACACACACACACACACACACACACACACACACACACACCCTGGGGGATGTGCCCGCAACCAAGGCACATGCCCTTGGCCGGAATCGAACCCGGGAACCTTTCAGTCCGCAGGCCGACGCTCTATCCACCGAGCCACACGGGTTTCGGCTCCATCCCGTTTTTTAAAAAAATGTATATTGTTATTGATCTCAGAGAGAAAGGGAGAGGGAGAGAGAGAAACATCCATGAGGAGGAGAGACAATCACGGATCAGCTTGTGCCCTGACCGGGAACGGAACCGTGGCCTCCTGGTTCCTAAGTCCACGTTCCATCCACCACGGAGACAGGCCAGCTGGGCTCACCCAATATGAATGAATATTTTTTTTAATTTGGCATTACGGTGACCCTACAAAAACCACCCAGCCACAAGGGGATAGACTGATTAATTCTCTAGATAGCATTTCCAAATCGATAGTGCTTTTATTTTGAGCATGCTTGGGAGCACCGAGTTTGCAATCTATCACATACTACTTATATATTATATTACTAACATAGAACGTAATATAATATTACATTAGTTATCTATTCTTTTTTAAAAATATATATATTTTATTGATTTTGTACAGAGAGGAAAGGAGAGATATAGAGAGTTAGAAACGATGAGAGAGAGTCATCGATCAGCTGCCTCTTGCACACCCCCCACTGGGGATGTGCCCTCAACCAAGGTCCATGCCCTTGACCGGAATCGAACCCGGGACCCTTCAGTCCCCAAGCCGACGCTCTATCCATTGAGCCAAACCGGTCTTGGCACATTAGTTATCTATTCTATTCTATTATTCTATTATCATCCAACATCCTTTATCCATTTAAAGGCAATGGATTGGGCAGGACAAGGTGTGCTTTCCGCCGGCAATTTTGAAGAAGCGCCCGTCTCAGGAATGCAGCCCAGGACCACAGACCATCCGCGTGGCCTCCGCGGGCGCCTTATACACCCCACGGGCCCCTCGGATCCCGTGACTCTCAGCCCTCCCTCCAGCCCAGGCAGCGCCAGCCACTGCACCTGCTTGCAAAAGCCCAGGGACCCCGCTGCACTTCTCCGGTCGGCCACGAGGCGGTGCAAGACCAAAGAAATCGAGTCGGAAGTGGCCCCCGGGGAAGCTGGTTCCCAGGTGAGAGGCAGGAATTCCCCAGCGACAGTCAATCAGAGGCGGTTGCACCAGCTCCTTGGCCTTAGGCATGCCTCCCCCTGCCCCCTCCCACGGGCTCACAGACACAGAGCCAGAGCTGCTGCTGCTGCTTCTTCTTCTTCTTCTATAATTAATATTATTTTTAAAATATATTTTATTGATTTTATACAGAGAGGAAGGGAGAGAGATAGAGAGCTAGAAACATCGATGAGAGAGAGTCATCCATCAGCTGCCTCTTGCACACCCCCTACTGGGGGTGTGTCCGCCACCAAGGTCCATGCCCTTGACTGGAATCGAACCCGGGACCTTTCAGTCCCCAGGCCGACGCTCTATCCATTGAGCCAAACCGGTTTTGGCTTCTGTAATGAATAGTTTGATTGGTTTCAGAGAGGAAGGGAGAGGGAGAGACAGAGAGAAACTTCGAAGGGAGAGAGACAGGTCGATGGGCAGCCTCCTGCACGAACCCCTATCAGGGCTGGGGAGCCTGCCACCAAGGCCCGTGCCCTTGACCAGAATCGAACCCAAGATCGCCCCTAGCCCGCGGGCCAATGCTCTATCCACTGAGCCACACCGGCCAGCTGGCTGCTTCCTAAGACGGGAAGGACAGTCTTCCCGGGCCCGTGGCCGGTGTGGGAACAAGGCGGGGTGGGGGTGGGAGTGGGAGGGGAGAGCCGGCTTCTGGGGGGCGGGAGGGGGAAGGGGGACTCGGGCACAGGGTGGTGGCCGGGCTCGGGGCTGGCAGGGCGGAGGGTGGGCAGGGACAATGGTGGCATTGTGTGTCTGTCCCAGGAAGCGGCTCCGTGGGGCTGGCAGGGAAATTGCCCGTTCGGAGGCAGCGGGCTCCTCGGTGCCGCTCCGCCCAGCCCGTCAGCG